ATAGTCTGACCCTGGATGTCCTCTGTTTAGTTTAATTTGGGAAGCTTCCAGAGCTACAAACAGCAGCAGTAAAGCCACAGTGCCCTTTCCACAAGCCTAAAAAAAAAATAAATAGTAGACACAATGCACACTAAAACATTGCCCTGACTCCCAGCAGACTTGGTGTGGTTTTGTGGGGCAAGGTGATCATCACTGACACCAGGCAAGTTTGCCACACAGCCTCAAGGACAGACACATGGTCAGTGCCTCATTCAGAGCCAGTCAGACAGTAGAACATGACATGCTGGGGACATGTCACACCCCAGGATCCACTGTGTAATGACAGCACAGTCCAAACAAGGATCAAATGCCTGCTCTGAGATCAGGATCTCCAGGAGGACCTGACCTCTGACTACAAATGCCCATCAGTGTGGCTGTCAGTGTTGCCAAGACAGAAAAAGCACCAATTCGACTGTCTTAAAAAAGAAAAAAATATTTAAGATTCTATTAACAGAAGGTGAAGAAAGCCAGGCATTCTGTATTGACACCAAGGCTATGACAGTATCAGGTACAGTGACCCTCAGCAGCAGCAGTGATTTCTAAAAGCCCAGGGAGCAGACATATAATTGCTTTAAGTAAACTCTGACTTACAGAAGAAACTACATTTGAATTGAACATGGAGAGGGGGGAGGACAATATCCCTTTAAAGAAGATCCTTCGAGACATGTAACTGTAGAAAGGCCAGTGAATACAACATTGATTGGGAGTGAGGTAACCACAAACACCACTGTCTCAAATGAAAAGGGATTCAAGGTCTGACCCAGAAAACAAGCATCGTAACCGCTGGGATGAAATTTTAATGATAAACACAAGATGCTCTGCATGGAGGCCAGATTGAATTATCTGATGTCAGCCAGTAAATGCACGGTGCTTGGAGAAAGGGGAGATGTGAGCAGCCACCCTCGACTCACAGCTCAGGTTGCACTTAATCAATCCTTGATATTCTGCCATCTTCTGGCTTGAGCTTTGGCAGCAGCATGGGAAAAACAGGACAGTGCATGAAATAGGTACATTTCTCTCAGGGAGAGCTAACCCTGTATGGTTTATTTTTGTTTATATAAAGTTAAAGAGATCTGCTCATGAACCAGCTCAGGCAAAACTAGGCTCGACGTATGATGCTGCTGGTTTAAGTCCCTCTGCCCAAACCTGTACAAACTGCCTTTCAGAAATACTGGAAAAAAGCTTTACAGCAACTAAACTAAAAATTATTCCACTTCCCAGCGGAGTTTGAAGCAATATAATGAAGGACACTAGATCTGGTCTATTCCAGCACAGGTTGAAATCCAATCAGAATTTTCCCAGGCTTGCTCCAAGACCCCAAATACACATCAGCCCCTGATGGAGAACCTCTCTCCACTTTTCTTGTTGCATTTTTATAACCATTCTCTGATCTCCCAAGATCCTGAGCTGAACCTCCTGAAACCAGGGAGCAGCTGCTATACACTGCCACAGTTTCCAGCTATAAAGACAGAGTGTAATGCCTGGCTGGCCTGACTGAGCTGAGCCAGAGCCTTGCAGCTGCTCCCCAAAGTCAGGCATCAAAAAACCTGCTCCAAACCAAGTGGCCCGATTTTTCTCCAGTGCAACAACCTGACTACAAAAGAAAGGAAGGTAAATGATGCTACAAGCTTAGAAAACCCCAGGAAATGCCACATAGAAAATTAGCTTTAAGATCATCTCAAGTCTTGAAAAGTCACACTTCTGTTTACCTTTCTGTACGTGGCACAACTCACTATAATCTATGATTATTCACATGTAAAGCTAAGCACATAAGTGTTTGTGAAACTGGAGATATAATCATTAAATGTAACAGATAATTGATATTTATACTAAGAAAACTGACGTCTGTTAACCTCAGCTATTAAATTACTTCTTCAGTACTGAAAGAATGGAATAGCTAGTTATTGATCACCAGATTCATTACACTTTTATGATCAAATTTGAAAGCACAATGCCATTAAGTACAATACTATGAGCTGGGAAGGAAAGAGGAGGATACGTTTGGATAAAACAAACCAAACCTAAACAAATTCCTCAATCTACCTATCCTAAATAGGTATCAAATGCCCAAAACGAACATCATCTTTCCCTGCACAATCTGCTAAAGTCCTTGGAAGTTTTAGTTTTAACTTTAAGTCTGTCTTGTTTGATATTTATCAGGACATACCTGGTATTATTGGGTGCAATATTACTGGGGGGGTGTTCCTGCAGACTCTATCATTACTGGCAGAACAACAAATTCACCTGCTTTTGGGCAAGATTCATAGGAGAGTTTTCTGCTTGCAGCAATTTAAAAGATGCTTTCAGAGATCTCAAGCTATCAAAGCAGAGTGAAGAGCAAGTGGTAAACAGCAAAGGAAGTAACACAATTTTTGTGTTCTAATAAAAACACTTTATTTACTAACCACACAAAGCCTGATTTCTCCATGTTGTTTTCTCAAATCCACACTGACAGCTTCATAAAAAGATACTTCACTACTTAAATCTGCTTCCTCAGAGAAGGGCAATTACTGGCATGAAATTTGAGTGAAATGCAAACCATCACTTTTCCTACTGGATACAGAGGTGTAGCTCCTCTGTCAGTGGCCTCTCACCTGCTCCCTTATTGTCAGGAACCTTACAGGAACCTCAGCTCTTTAGGAAACCACCTCACTTCACCATGCCAGCTGAGACAAACTCACCAAAAGAATCAAGAGATACTAGAGGAACTAAGGAAACAATATGAAAAGACTGTGAAACCGTATAAAGCCAACTTCTGTAACACCACTAAGCTAAAATATGGACTGCTTGAGTTCCATATATGCGATTAACCTCATTTGTTCATTAATTCTTCAGAAATTAAATTCATTCTGCCTACCTGCTATATACTGCACAGTTGGAGAAAATGAAGAAAAAGAAGAGCTGGAGGTTTTGGCAGCAGCATGGAGACAACTGGGGTTTCTGGCTCCCAAAAAAGTACAGGAGGTTTCATTAGATACAGTGGAACAGATACAGCAGTGTAGATCTCTGGCCAAGGCCAGGAAACACAGTGCCCAAGCTGAAGGGCACACAAGAAGTCAGGTTGCTCTCTGCAGAGCTGGACCCCAGCTGCAGAGCAGCAGGCTGGGAGCTGCTGTGCCCCAGAAGTGGCCCAAGGCTCAAATTCAGGCATGAGTCAACCCAAGACCTGTGGTACTCCAGCCACACAAGTTCTCCACACCTCATCCCATGGCCACTGTTGAGGTCAACACTGCAGAGGTCACACACTAACTGCAGCAGAAGTGTTTTCGTTGTGAATGGTTACAGCAGCAAAAACATCACGTGAAAAGCAGGG